GCGGGACAGAGAGCGGTCGCGGCGCCATGGGCGACGGCTCAATCCTTTGCGATCGGGATAGCATGTTGTGCACCAGGCCGTAGAAGCAGCATGAGAAACTCCACAGCGCGAACAAAACCATGTAGATGCGGCGCGCTGCCATGATGCTTTGCTGGACATGTGAACGTACTCCTGGCTGCTGTGGTGCTGAGCGAGCGTGGCCTGCGCCGAGGCCACTCTGAGCAGCACGCGAGCCTGGCTGCGGCGTTCGCGAGCTCGCCTGTGCCAGGCGGGCTCACTGGATTGGGGCTGACGGCTCGTGGCGCTGGCCACGCGTCAGCGGCGGCACGGCCTGCCAGGGAGCGCCGAGGAGGCCCTGGCTGGCGCGTATGGCCGCCCGTCCCGAGGGGCGCGCAGCTACTGGGTAGCTGCACCCGGGGCCCCTATGCCAGGACGGCGGCTGGGAGGGAGAGGAGGGAGGAGGGAGGAGGAGGAGTAAGCGGATCAGGAGGAGGAGAAGGAGGAGGATTTTTGTTGAGCTCGACGCTCGCACCGCAAATGACTGACTCCTGCAATGCGGGACCTGCAGGAGGGGCCGAACACCTCCCCAACAGGGCAGTGCCAGTAGCCAGAGCAGCGCCAAGGGTCTGGGCCATGCCCCCGTGGCGTGCTAAGTGCGCGAAGCAGGACGCGCAAGGAGACCTTGCTCCGCGCGCCCTGTTCGGGGTAGGGGGCGCCGGAGTCCGTGCTCCGACGCCCAACCTACCCACCACCCACTCCATGGGTGGCCGCTGGCGACGAGAGCATTTTTTGTTTCTCTCTCTCTCTCTCTCCCTCTCTCTCTCTCTCTCTCTCTCTCTCCTTGGCCCCCTACGGGCAAACAAGGGTGACGATCGTGCTGCTACCCGCCTGTTTTCCTGGGAAGGGGTCACAGTGGCACAGGTGCCCGAAAAGAGAAGGAGGAGGAGGAGGAACAGGAGGAGGAAGAGGAGGAGGAGGAGGAGGAAAACAGGACAGACATAAGAGCCTCCTCGGATGTCTCCTGGTTTTTCCCAACCGTCCTGTGGTGTTGGGTCCTCGTTTTGAAGAGACGGTCCCCGCGTTCCCTCCTCCCTCCTCTCCCCCCCCCTCCACCGCCCGCATGTGTCACGCACACCCATGTCGGCACACCCCTCACACGTTTCGTGGCCCCACAGGGAGCTCAACCGAAGGCCCCAGTGCCACCGCCAGCATGCGTCACGCACACCCATTTCGGCACACCCCTCACACGTCCCCACAGGGAGCTCCACCGAATGCTCCAGTGCCACCGCCCGCATGCCTCACGCACACCAATTTCGGCACACCTCTCACACGTTTCGTGGCCCCATAGGGAGCTCCACCGAAGGCCCCTGTGCCACCGCCAGCATGCGTCACGCACACCCATTTCGGCACACCCTCACACTTGTCGTGGCCCCACAGGGAGCTCAACCGAAGGCCCCAGTGCCACCGCCAGCATGTGCCACACACACACACCCATTTCGGCACAACCCTCACACGTTTCGTGACCCCACAGGGCCAGTGCCACCGCCCGCATGCGTCACCCACGCCCATTCCAGCACACCCCTCACACGTTTCGTGGTCCCACAGGGAGCTCCACCGAAGGCGCCAGTGGCTGCGTTCGCATGCGCCCACCGTACCAATTTTGGCACACCTCTCACAAGCTTCGCGGCACCATAGGGAGCTCCACCGACGACCCCAATGGCTGCGTTCGAATGCGCCCACCTCACCTATTTCGACACACCTCTCACGCGTTTCGTGGCCCCATGGGGAGTTCCTCCGATGGCCCCAGTGGCGGCCTTCGCATGCGCCCACCAGACAGATTTTGGCACACCCCTCACGCTTCGTGGCCCTACGGGGAGCTCCTCCGAATGCGGTGCATACAACGACGGTGCTCACAACTGCATATGGTTGGGTCCTCGCCATGCCAATTTTTGGGAGGCCTCCTGGAACATCTGGGGGGCATCTTGGGTGCCTCGAGGATCCTCTTGGGGGCCTCTTGAGAGCCTTTTGGAGGTATCTTGGGCGCCTCTGGGGGCCGTCTGGGCGCCTCTAGGCCCTCTTGGGGCGATCTTGGGTGCCTTGGGCGCGCTCTTCGGGCCATCTTGGAGGACATCGATCTGAAATCGCCTCTTGGGCCCCTCTTGGGGCGCTATTGGGCGCTCTTGGGGCCGTCTTGGGGCTCTCTTGGGCCCCTCTTGGGGCCCTCTGGGGCCCTCTTGGAGCCATCTTGAGGCTTCGGAAGGCCATCGGAAGCGAAAAGGCGAGAAGGCAGAATACATTGATTTTCCTTGTTTTGGAAGGATATTGGCCTCTTCGGGGCCTCCTCGGGGAGCTCTTTGGCCACTTGGAGCCGTCTTGGAGCGGTCTTGGGGCCTCTTGGAGCATCTTGGGAGCCATCTTGAGGCATCTTGGGATATCTTGAGCCTTCTTGGAGCTCATCTGTCCAGGTCCAGGGTAGGGAGTAGGGGCAGGGGTAAACCCCTCAAGAGGGGCAGATGGAAGACAACACCCTAGACCACCTACGCCCTAGTGAGCGTTTTTTTGTATTAATTCTTTTGCCGATCGGCGCGGGTCCCCAAACCCCCTCTCCCCCTCTCCCCATGGAGTAGATCTTGGCTGTTTTTTGTTGGCGCCTGTTTCGAGCGGGTGGGGTCTCCCCCAGAGGCAGCATTCTTGCAAACAGTCGCACTGAGCAGGGGTCTGCAGCCAGACACCCCTTCCTCTCCTCCTTACCGCCCAATGTCGAAACGCCGAATAAAAAAACGCTCACCTGAAGGGCTGGTGGGACTGCTTCCGCTGGATGTCTGGGGCCGTCGAGCCTCGACCCCGTAGTGGTACGGTGCGCAGTTTTCCCGCCCCCAGAGAGCCCGAGGAAGTATGCGCGCCGCACAGCATTGTGATCGTTTTCTATTCCTTGTTCTGCCGATCGGCGCGGGCCCCCAAATCCTCCCCACCCCATGGAGTAAGTAGATCTTGGCTGTTTTGGGCGCCTGTTTCGAGCAGGTGGAGTCCCCTCATGGGAGCCAGGGTTGCAGACAGTCGCGCTGAGCAGAGGTCCGGAGCCAGACTCCCCCCCTCCCCCATCCCTTCCGCCCAACGTCGAAACGCCGAATAGAAAAACCCTCACATTGGAGCGGGGCCCGAAGGACCTCTCAGGGGGAACGTCGGGGAGGAGGATCGGCTCGGGGGGGCTCGGGTTCGGGATTTTCGGGCGTTTCCGTCGGTCCTCGGCGGTCTTCCAAGCCTCGGGGGGTGCCCTCCAGCAGCCGTGCCTCGCGGAGACTCCTCCGGAGGTGCCCGGCAGGGTCTCGGGGCAGGGTCCGAAAAGGGCCTCGGCCGGAGCTCCCGCGGCGCGTGGTCGCCGAGAGTTGGTGGAGCTCTCAAGCAAGCTCGGGTACGGGGCCGTGCTTAGCGGGAATACACCTTAGGCGATGCTTAAGAAAACTTAAGTTTTCGGCCAGAGTCTCGATTATTCTTAACGTTTCAATGTAAATCTTAAGACTTTAGTAGAACTGTTGGGTTTTTATTCAAGTTCTGAGACTATGAATTTCTTAACCCATGATTTCTTAAGCATTTCGCAGGGTGTACGGCAGCTGATCGCCGTGAGCGAGAGACTCCACGGCAGCGAAAGTCGCGAGATTCGCAGACGGTGGTGGCAAAACCGACCAGAGGCCGAGAAGGAGGTCGGGGGAGTGGAGCTAACGACGGGACAACCATTGGGACAACCGTCTCCATCCATCGAACAATCTCTATCTCCAATTTATCTACTGATCTCAGACTACGCATGCGTATGCATTATATATGCTTAACTAACTGCCAGTATTTACAGATAGCCATACATCTTTTTGATATAACTATATACACATATCTGTGTATATAAGTACAGCTGGATGCGTACATTTATAGTTATATATATATATATACACATACATATGCAGCTGCCTTCGGCAAGTCCGGCCACCGTGCTTGGTTTGTGCGCTATACGCCTTGTGGATGCTCGTTGGAATCTCGTGGGAGGTTTCTCGGGGGCCTCTTAGAGGCAGTTTGAGGCCTCTTTGGGGCCTTTTGGGGCCTCTCGGGGGCCTCCAGAAGGCCTCCAGAAGGCCTCCTGAGGCCTCTTTGGGCCTCGTGGGCGCCTCGAGGGACCTCCTGGGGTTCCCTTGGGGCAGAAGGCTCGGATTTTCGATTTGTGTTCCCTCTCTGGTGCTCCTTCTGGGGCTGTCTTGGGGCCCTCTTGTGCCGTCTTGGGCGCCTCCTGGGTGCTCTTGGGGCGCTCTTGGGCCGTCTTGGGGCCCTCTCGGAGGTCTCTTGGCCCGTTTTGGGGTGGTCTTCGGGGCCTTCTGGGCCGTCCCGGAGCGTCGGAAAGCCGAAAAAGCGAGCACGCCCAAATCCTTGCAAAAAGGACGGGACATCAATAATTGTCTGCCCCCCAAGAAGCTTCAAAAGGGTGTCAGACGAAAAATCATTCAACTACTAAGGAACACAATCGGTTTTCCCGGAATTTCCCCTTTCGATTCCCGAGGGGCCTCAGGATGGCTCAAAAATGGCCCACCAGGAGCCCCATGGCGGCCCTCAGGGCGGTCGATTGGAGCTCCCAAAACCCTTCAAGATTGCTCCGACTCGGCCAAAGATGGCCTCGAGACGGCCCTCGAGCCCGCCCAGACGGCCCCAGCTAGCCTCCACAGCAGCTCAAGATGGCCCCAAGACGGCCGCTGGCGGCCCCAAGATTCTCCCAAGAAGCTTCAAAATGGCTTCAGACGAAACATGATTCAACAACCCAAGAACACAATCGGTTTTCCCAGAATTTTCATGTTCGCCTCCGAGGGGCCTCTCAGGCCTCGGGATGTCTCAAAAGTGGCCCAACAGGAGCCCCATAGCGGCCCAGGACGGTCGATTGGGGCCCCCAAGACCCTTCAAAATGGCTCCGACACGGCCGAAGATGGCCTCGAGATGGCCCTCGAGCCCGCCAAGACGGTCCCAGCTAGCCTCCAGACGGCCCCAGGCAGCTAAGATGGCCCCAAGACGGCCTTTGGGGTCCCTCCGTAGCCATTTTGGCTGAAGCCGCTCCCCGCCATGATTCAGTACGAGAAAAGGCTATCGCGCGACCTTCTGCTGGGCTTGAAGGGCAGTGTCGGACCTTTCGCATGTCTGTTCGCGCTGCCCTCGGCCACCTTCGCGGTGGTGTTGAAAACGTGGTTCGACTCTACGGACCTGGACGCCACGAAAAAGATTGGCTTCACTGCCACGCCGTACACCAGCTTCACTGCCATGCTTGCATTCTTGATCATCTTTCGCACCCAACAGGCATACTCGCGATTCTGCACAGGGGGGGCACTTGTGCGATCGATGACTTGCTTATGGTGCGACGCTGCCTGCAGCTTCGTCACCTTCACACGTACATCCAAGATTGATAGCAATGAGGTCGGCAGATTTCGAGAGTTGGTGGTACGACTGTTCAGTCTCATGAACGCCCTTGCCTTGGCGAAGTTATCGGACACCGACGGCGATGATGGGACGGCCTTTTTAATGAAGTTGAAGGTTATTGACCCTGGTTCGCTGGAGCCGTCAGTGATCCGCACTGTGAACGACACGGAGCTGAAAGTCGAGGCAGTGTATAACATGCTCATGGCATTGCTTGCGGAGGCGGATCAGGCCGGCCTCATGAGAGTTGCACCGCCGGTCTTCGCGCGAGCCTTAAACGAAATGCATGTTGGTTGTCTAAAGTATGATGATGCCCACAATCTTCGGTTTTTGTTATTCCCATTCCCGTACGCGCAGGTCACTGTGTGGATGATGTTTATCCACATGATGGCGACACCGTTCATGGCAGCAAACGTGTGTCTCGGGCGCATACAGGCGTTCTGTATCTGTTTCCTGCTCACGTTCGTGTTCTGGGCCTTGCATGAAGTGTCCGTAGAGCTTGAGAATCCATTTGGCAATGATGCAAATGACCTGGACATGCAGGGATATCAGGACTTCTGTAACAAGCGGCTGCTACTGCTGCTGCATCAAACAAATGACAAGGCTCCCGATCTCAGGACGGATGTCGCGCTGTCAGAGCTCACAATCAGAACAGTTCGTGGAGAGACGTTGCCCCTGCTTGATGCCGGTGTGACTTCCTCAGTGCACAGCATGGCGTTTCCACTGAGATCCGATGTCCACGAGGTCTCGGATGACAGCTCCAGCGATTTGGACGATGTGCGGCATGCACATGCTGCTGGCTTCCGCTAAAAGCACCAGTGAATGGACAAGCCCAGGCCCTCCGAGTGCGGAGGAGGCCGGAAGCTATGCCCCTCCTTTTTGTCCCTGCCGTTCTAAGACATCATTTTGTTTCTGTTCCACTTTGTTTTGGCCTGAACCACCAGAAAGAATTTCGGGCACAAAGCAAGAACCGAACCTCGAGGGTTTTCACGCGTCGGGCTTGGAGACACTCGTTCGACACCGTTTCGACACTGTTTCGACACTGTTTCGACACTGTTTCGACACTTTTCCCGGTGCTCGAAGTTAGCTCTGGGATGTGGTCCTTCAGTACGGCGGGAGCAAGATAAACCTCATCTGCCATGAGGACTCACCTCCCTCTTCCTCTCTCCTCCTCCGCGTTCGCCGCTGGCGTTTCAATTCAGAGCGGGGGCCGTGCGCTGATCAGAACGGCATCGATCGTGCAGGCCTGACTGCCAGTTACTGGCACCCGCCAGGCGGGAATCGCTGTCTTCTATGTGTGGAACGTCGTGTTGCCTTCCTATGGGATGGTACAGTTTGAGTCATGGTCTTGCTTGGAATCGGGGTCTCCTTTTGAATCACACACGAGTGCCAGCCACAGCGTGTGGGTGAGAGCGACCCTTTCGCATGCCACTTCTCTCTCTCTCTCTCTCTTTTTCTGTCGTTCGTTATGTTTTTTCTCACTCTCTCTCTCTCTATCTCTCTTTGTCTCCTTTCGCCTCCTGCATTGTTATGTTACGCTGTTATCGGGGACGTGCACTTGCATACAAGTCTGTGTGAGTGCCGTAGGCAAGATTCAGTAAGCGTACACACGCGCGGTTTAGTGTCTCACTCACCTCTATTTCTCCTTCCCTTCATCCATTCGCCTTTTCGCCTCCTTATTTCGCTCAGTTTTCAATATGTTTTGCGAGCATGCCATGTTATCCCACTCCTTCCTGCCAGTCGTGCGCGCAGAGGGTAGGGGAGAGGAGAACGGCTAGAGGAGAGGAGAGGAGGGGGGTGCGAGAGAGACCTCTCGACATCAAGGCAGTCCTCGGTGGCGAGCGGCACGGGCAAGTTTAGGGTTACATTCCTGCCCGTCTGTACGTTTTCAGTTGTGCCCCATCTTTTTCCATCCTTGCCGTTACTACCCTGGCGACTTTTCTACTTTCATGTCTGTCTCCTCCTTTTGCGTCGTCGGATCCACCTACACATGTCCTCGCTTACACGTTGGCTCGTCATAGCTGCGAGATCCCAGCGGCTTGTCGAGGACAGGTCGCTGGTGCGCGCATAGCTTTCTTTGCCGGACATGCCGGCGATAATTCGAATTCGTGCACTGTTTGGTAGGCTGCTCACACACGTCGTCGTTAGCCTGTTTTCGCGCCAGTGCGCGCCGAGGCTCGTGGATAGGTCAGGCGCTGCGGCTGTGATAGCAGAAAGGAAGACGGCCTTTGGGGTCCCCCACGACAGCGGAGGAGGAGGAGGAGGAGGAGGAGGAGGAGGAGGAGGGAGGAGGAGGAGGAGGAGGAGGGAGGAGGGAGGAGGGAGGAGGGAGGAGGGAGGAGGGAGGAGGAAGGAGGAGGAGGAGGAGGAGGAGGAGGAGGAGAAAGTCTCATGACTCAGGATGGCCCGACAATGGCCCGACAATGGCCCTCGAGGGGCCCCAGGGAGGCCCAAGGCGGTCGACTGGGGCCCCCCAAACCATGCAACATGGCTCCAAGACGGCACCCACACGCCCCCAAGCAGTTCCAAATACGCTTCCAAGGGGACCCCAGGAGGCCAAAAGCGTGAATCCCCGACGACCCATCCGAGCCCCTAGCGCGCAGCCAGCCTGATGTTCCCGGAGGCCTATCCAGGAACACCAGGCCGACGGCACGACGACAACGATGATGATGACGGCAAGCATGACGACGTTTTCATTAATGGTGTTGTGGATGCAGATGGTTATGATGTTGATGAGATTGGTGACGTTGATGATGCTGACGATGACGACGACGATGATGATGATGATGATGATGATGATGATGATGATGATGATGATGATGCTGATGTTGATGATGATGATGATTATCATTATTGTGCTGCTGCTGATGCTGATGCTGATGATGGTGGTGGCGGTGCTGATAAACATGGTAATGGCGATGGTGATGGTGATGTTGCTGCTGCTGCTGATGATGATGATGTTGATGGTGGCGTTGATGACGATGATGATGAAGATGATGATGACGATGATGATGATGATGCTGGTGACGGTGATGATCATGAGCATGCTAATGTTGTTGACGGCAATCGTGGCGGTGGTGGCGCCGATAATGATCATGATGATGAATCTGATGCTGGTTATGATGCAGACGGTGATAACTATGCCCATTATGACCAGGATGATACTGACGATGATGTGATTGATGGACATCGTATTCGTGATGATGATGTTGATGATTGTGATGTTGATGCCAATGATGCTGCTGCTGCTGATGATGATGACGATGACGACGACGATGACGATGATGATGATTTCGATTATGAGGAGAATGATGATTGTAATGACGATGTTGGTGACATCATGGCAGTTGCGATGACGCTGATGACGGTGATCATGATGATGCTGATGCTGGTTATTATGATGTTGGTGGTGATAACGGTGACGATCATTACGACGCTCCTGGAGTAGCCCCGAATTGGGACTCCAAGAGACCCTACGCGATTTTCACATGCAGGCATGGAGCTTCGACAAGCCTCCCCGAAGGTCTCACCCAACCCCCCACATCTCGAAACTGCTCCCAGAGGCGCGCATCCGACCTGATGCTGGACTCCTTCGCTCCGACGACCCATCCGAGCCTCTCACACGCGGCAGGCATAGAGTCCCTGGAGGCCTCTCCAGGAACATTTGGCCGACGACATGACGATGATGTTAGCAATGGCGTTCGTAACGAGAGTCTTGATGCTGGTGACGATGGGAATGCCCATGCTGATGCTGATGCTGATGATGAGGAGGATGATGACGATGGTGATCGTGGTGATGATGGTGATGATGGTGTGGTGGTGGTGACGGTGATGGTGGTGGTGCATGTGATGATGTTGATGGTGATGGTGCTGGTGAAGCTGCTGATGATGGTTATGATGATGTGCTAGAATTGATGGTGATGATGATGCTGATGCTGATCATGATGATGCTGGTGGCGATGCTGATGAATACGATGCTGCTGATGATGGTGATGGTGATGACGATGCTGGCTATACATGATGACGGTGATGGTGGTGATGCTGATTATGATGTTGATGATGCTGTTGATTATGATGCTGATGCTGATGATGGTAATGATGATGATGATGATGCTGTTGATGATGATAATGATGATGATGATGGTGATGATGATGATGATGATGATTATGATGATGATCATGATGATGATTATGATGATGATGATGATGATGATCATGATCATGATCATGATCATGATGATGATGACGATGATGATGCTGATGCTGATGCTGATGCTGATGCAGATGATGCTGATGATGCGATACATCGTGTTCATGACGATGCTGACGCTGATGTTGAGGATGACGTAGATGGCGTCGACGGTGATGGTGACGATGCTGAGGATGCGGATGTTGATGAGAATGGTGACGGTAACGATGGTGGTGACGATCGTCATCATGGCAAGGATGATGTATCCATCTCCGTGCCTCGATCAGGTGGTCGCCTCTGAGGCTTGTGGAGAAACCCCAGCTTGCCCGAGAGAGCCCCAAGAGGAGCCCTAGAGGCCACCACGACGGTTCCATGAGCCGTCAAGAGCCTCCCAGAGAAGATCCAAGCGATCCCGAGGAGACGACGGGAAGGAGACGACGGGGAGGAGGAGGAGGAGGAGGAGGAGGAGGAGGAGGAGGAGGAGGAGGAGGAGGAGGAGGAGCAGGAGGGGGAGGAGGAGGGGGAGGGGGAGGAGGAAGAACCCAGCTTGACGGAGTCCGGAGGCGCCAGACGGGCGAAGGGCGGGCCAAGGGCACCCTGCAAGAACGCCCGCGAAGGCCCCCCTCCAGGCCCCAAGGCAGCACCCAGAGGCCCCCAGGGCACCGGTACCCAGGAGGCCTCCAAGACGCAGAAACCGACGGGAAACTTCGGAGTCTAAAGAATTCGCCTTTTCGCTTTCGATGGGCCAGGCCAGCCTCTCAGTCCTCCAGGTGCCCTCCAGACGGTTCAAGGGGCCTCCTCCTCCTCCTCCCTCCCTCCTCCTCCCTCCTCCCTCCTCCCTCCTCCTCCTCCTCCTCCTCCTCCTCCTCCTCCTCCTCCTCCTCCTCCCTCCTCCTCCTCCTCCTCCTCCTCCTCCTCCTCCTCCCTCCTCCTCCCCTCCTCCTCCTCCTCCTCCTCCTCCTCCTCCTCCTCCTCCTCCTCCTCCTCCTCCTCCTCCTCCTCCTCCTCCTCCCTCCTCCCCCTCCCTTTTCCTCCCTCCTCCCTCCTCTTCTTCCTCCTCCTCCTCCTCCTGGCCGCCGGATGGATGGGGCCCAGAGAGAACCTTTACCCCCCCCCAAAAAAATGCCTCCAAGAAGCTTCCCGAGGTGCGCAGTCGGCCAGATGTTCCAGGAGGCCTCTCTGAAAATACCTTGCCGTCGACGACGAAGACGACGGTGACGCTGATTCTGGTGATGATGGGGATGATGATGGGTAAGGAGATGACAGTGGCGATGTGCACAATTGGCGCAGCGGTGTTGTTGGTGATGGTGATGGGAGTTAGAACGAAGATGATGATCTTGACGATGATGATGATGCCGAAGATGATGATGACGATGATGATGATGATCATCATCATGATGATGTTGAGGATGATGATTGTGATTATGACTATGACCATGACCATGACGATGTTGATGATGCTGATGGTGGTGGTGGCGGTGCTGATGAAGCTGATGATGGTGTTGATGCTGATGTTGATGCTGATGCTGATGTTGGTGATGATAGCGGTGATGCTGATGATGGTGATGATGATGACGATGTGATGATGACGATGACGAAAACGAGTATGATGATGATGCTGGTGATGATGGCGATGATGATGCTGATGACGATGATGATAATGATGTGGTCGATGATGATATCGATGATGCTGATGATGCTGATGATGATGATGAAGCTGATGGTGATGGTCATGGTGGTGGTTGTGCTGATGATGATGACGATGACGATGTTGATGCTGATGATGCTGATTGGGAGGCTGATGATGATGATGAAGATCAGTATGACGACGATGATGATGGTTGCTACGATGACGATGTCGATCACGATGATGATGATTATGATGAGGATGAGGATGAGGATGAGGATTAGAGCTTGACGTGACGGCATGTCTAGGAGCATTGGGCCAAGGAAGTTCTCCATGATGTTTCTGCTATTGTTGATGCTGGTCCTGGCCATTGTGATTAGCATGATGACGATGGGTGAGATGATAAGGAGGAGTTCGAGGGTCAAGACTGGAATGAGGATGAGGGTTCGGAAGCGTACGACTATGTCACACGCTTTTGCATGATAGCATTGTTCAAGTAAATTCAGCGACCCCCCCCAGGCCTGCGCTAGAGCCTGTGCGCGCGCGAAGCGCGCGCGATGGCTCTAGTTTGTATGTTTATGTATATATGTTTAAAGATCGATCGATCGATCTCAATATCTGTCAGTCGTTCGATACCATTATCCGTTTATTGATCTCGCGACCAGATCAACGATATCATTATATCTACACCGATGTCACTATCAAAGTAGGTATGTACGCATAGATTTGCCGTCTTAACTTTGTGGTCTCCACGATGTATCTATTGATCCCACTTCCAATCAATTGAGCTACTACCGCGACGGCCATCATGACAGCAATCGGGACCATTATCGGGGTAACCACCGGGACAACCTATCGGTGGATCCGTCTATGGATATGACGATAGATGTGTTTAGCGCTGTTTATGCATGTATGTTCATGTAATAATCCGGTGCATCCATGTAGACATA